GTCAGCGTCGCGGAGCTCGACGTGACCACGGGCGAGTACGAGGTCCTCTGGGACATCGACTGGTTCGACGGGCATGTCAACGCCGTGAACCAGGGCAAGTCGTGGGCCTTCACGCACTGCATGTTCGCGCGCCGTCCGAGTCGTCGCCGCGCCGCGGACCACGCATCGCTCGATCGGCGGACGGAGCACGGCGATCGGCCCGGTGCTCGGCGGCGTCGGCCGGGAGCGGCGACCCCGCGGGCCAGAGGCGCCGCTCGACGGCCGCCGACGCGCCGGGGACGCCGTCCGCGGCGCCGCGGCGGGGCAGACCCGTAAGAAGGTGGAGTCGTGGGAAAGATCTTAAGGCTGGGTGAAGGCGTCGCGGGCGTGGCCGGCGCGGGCGCGGGCGCGGCGGCGCCCGCGGCTCCAGCGGCGACGCCGCGTCCGCGGTGTCGCGGTCGTCGTCCGGCGCCGGCCCGGGCGTCCGCGCCGCCGGCGGGGCGACGGGCGACAGCCGCCCCATGCCCGCGTGCCCCTGGTCGTAGACGGGTAGGAGCTTTTGTCGGCGTAGATCGTCGGCAGCTTCCGCGAGGCCGTCGGAGTAGACGCTGCGTCACCGCTCGGCGCGTTGCCGACGTCGGTCTCGTGCGCGGCCGTGATGCCGCCGCCGACGTGGAAGAACTCGGACACGAGCAAGTCGATCTACGCCACGACCTCGTGGGCCTCGACGTCCCGCGCGAGGTGCGCGCTGCGAGCAGGGGCTCCCTCGGCGTGGCACGGGCCGCGAAGTCGCCGTCGCCGCCGATGCTGAGCGCGCAGGCCGACTCGCCGGAGTCGAACCAGCCTGAGCCGCCGATGTCCTCGGCCGTGGGCGGCGAGGTATTCTCGATGCGGCCGCGCGCCCGTCGCGTGAGCGTCCGCGCGTCGTTGGCCGCGCGCGTGTCGTCGACGTCGTAGGTCGCCGCCACCGTGGTCTCGACGATGGAGATGACGTGCGGGAGGGCGCTCGAGGACACCTCGACGCCCAACGTCTGCCGATCTCGAAGAGGGTCTCGACGATCGACCCGACGTCCGGCTTCTCCGACGCCGTCGCGAAGCACTCCGCGCTGTCGACGTCGAAGTAGCAGAGGTGTGTGTGGACCCGGAAGAGCGCGTAGAAGGTCCCGTCGCGGGCGCCGGGCGTGTAGAGGAGCACGACGACGATGGCGTGGTGGTCCCCGTACGCGACCGTGTAGGCCCTGGAATAGACGTCCGCGACGACGTCGAGCTGGCGCAGGCTGTGCTCGTCCACGCCGTCGTAGCGCGTGTCCTGCCTGCGTCGGGTTCTCGTAGAGCTCGCAGCTGACGTCGGAGAGCGTCGCGCCAGGCGCGACGAGCGGCGACTCGAGGTCGAACATGACGGCGCTTTGGTTCGACGCGAAGCTGGGTGGCTCGCGCCCGTCGCTGCCCACGCGGCGAGCGTGCGCGCCGGGAGCTCGTGCGAGCGCGAGCGCCTGGAGCTGGCGCAAGCCACGGAAGCTCGGCCGCCGCATGAGCCGATCGACTGCGTGTGTGCGGCTGCCCGCCGCATCGGCTAGCAGCACCATTGACGCGTAGGTTGGCGGCATGGTGAACTCACTGTCCGCCCGAGCGTGACCGAGTTCTGCTCGAGCTGCGAGTCATGTCCATGTCTCTTCAGATCGTCGACTTCGTGGGCGCCGCGTCCCCAAACGAGCGACAGCAAGCCTCTCGTTTGGCCATGGCGTGCCTGACGCACGTGCGCCGCAAGGGCGTCCGCAGCATTCTCCAGGACGTTGAGGCGCACCCGGCCGACGTGGAGCTCAGCGACGCCATGGAGGCCGCGCTCTGGTGCACGGTCATCCGTTTGCCCGCCCTCCTCCTCTGTAATCCGCAAGCGGCGGTCGGGCCGCTCTTCTTCGCCATGTTCCGCGAGGACTACTCCGCGCGGCGCTTCCTGATCTTCAAGGACCGCATCGAGCGCGAGGCGCTGCTCCGCGCCGTCGACGTCCAGCGCTCGGCGCTGCGCTCGGTGCTGCGCCGCATCGAGGACGCGGCGCCGCAGGAGAAGCCCCTCGTCGAGTTGACCCAGGAGGAGCGCTACATGCTCCACGCGCACGTCGAGACCCTGACCACGGGAAAGGAGCTCAAGGCCTGCTGCGTCGCGTTCGGCTTGCCGCCCGGCGGCGCCACGTACGCAACGTGCGTCGCGTTCGGCTTGCCGCCCGGCGGCGCCACGTACCCCTTGGTCAAGCTCGCCGCGCAACTCAAGGCCTTTGTCGACGGCCAGCCTGCGAAGAAGCGCCGCCTCACCTAAAGCCCAGTTGTTGGACTAGTTATTGAAGGGGATGCGCGCCCGACTGCGTCCGTCCGGGGAGGGGAGGCAGGTCCGCGGAGGGCTACGCGATGCGTGCACCTCAATTTGCCCTGCTTCTTGAACATACCGTAAAAACGCGACTTCCGGCGCTGTGAAACGACATGGAGCGCCTCTGGCTCGTCGCGGCCCTCGCGGCGCGATGCTCCGCGGAGCTCAGCGCCATCGCCGTCGAGTCCGCGGAGACGCTCACGGTGAAGAAGTTCCGGGCGCGCTACGTGCGCCACCAGCTGCCCGTGATCATCCGCCCGTCGCTGAACGCGCCCAACTGGACCCACCTCGACTTCAAGCGCATGTGCGGCGCGGGCCCCATCACGCGCTACGAGGTGCAGCCCGAGCTGAACCAGTGGGGCGGCCTGGGCGTCGGCGTGCCCATGGAGCTCGACAAGATGATCGAGGAGCTCTACGCGAAGAACGTGCGGACGTACTACGGCTTCGGCTTCGACCTCAAGTGCGGCTGCCCGCCCTTCACGGAAAAGGCCGAGCTGCTCAAGGTCTTCGAGGAGGATCGGTACAAGCACTCCGAGTTCGGCAAGTCGAACTGGCCCGAGCTCATCGTCGGCTCCAGGGACTCGTTCACGGCGCTCCACGTCGACAAGGGCATGATGCCCTTCTGGCTCAAGCTCATCGAGGGCGAGAAGGATTTTCGCGTCGTCCCCCTGCCGGAGTGGCGCGGGAAGCTCGACGGCGCCGACGACGCGGGCGCGCCCTTCGTCGGCGGGCCCTTCCCGTCGCTGAAGGCGCCGTTCGACGCGTTCGACGACGCGCTCGTCGAGCGCAGGTGGATCCAGGAGCGCAACGCGTCGGTCTACGCGGGGACCATGGAGGCCGGCGACTGGATGTACATCCCCGTGGGCGCCTTCCACGGCGCGAAAAACAACCTGCGGACGCCGTCCGTGTCCATGAGCGGCAACTACTGGGACAAGACGCACCGGAGGCAGATCCTCGAGAACTTCTGCGAGCCCATGGTCGCGGAGCGCGGCGGGTCGCCGCTGCGCGCG